AGAAGTATACATGTCACGCTGGTGTCCAGTGTTCATTTACCCCGAGAACTGTTTTTAAACTGACTGCAGAAAAGTTGAGAGCTCAGCGTCTGAGGTGAAACACACTGAATACAGATGAGGGAAACAGCGGTCACGGAAGCCTATGCTCTAATTGTGGATGACTTTTCTTAACGCAGACGGGTCTTGCTAGCCATACTCGACATGGTGATGTGCTGCGATTAACTTGCCTCCCTAATATTTTATAGCATTACTAGCTGTACCCGGCCACGCGTTGCTGTGGCATAGTTTTGCTAAATGGAAAATAGAGAACATAGAAATATGTCTTCGCTTCACGCCAGCGATGTACAGTGCAACAGCTAAACTTTGAGTGGGTAAGGCAGTTACTGTAACTTAAATCTATATCAGTAAACAGTTTATTTTAACCACCCATCCCCCAGTTCACCTACTACTTTCTTTCTGACGCGTGAACAGGCCACATATAGCTGTCCATGTGAAAAGCATAGATGTTCCAAATGCAGTCCATATACTTGTAGCGATTGTCCCTGTGATTTGTTTATGGTCATTGCAAAGGCGAGTCGCACCGGAAACTGAAAGCGTCTGAATTCAAATGGCATGTCTGTTGGAATCATTAGGATGCGTGGCAATAGTATATTCTCGCCCTTAAATTTCCCATTTAAAATTGTACCTTTGATAATATTGGGCATCAGCTTTTTCACTGAAAGCCTGGTACCATCGCAAAGACGTGGCGGATTGATGTTTCTGGGAAGAATGATAGGCACGCCAATTTTCAAGGTTAAAACGTGGGGTGGCATGCCTGGCAAATCAAGTGAATTCAAGAACTCAGTTGGATAATTGACTACTTCATCCTTAGTCATTACAGTATCGATAGACTTATACACTGTCACTCCGCCTGGTAATTTGTCTTGGATGTTCAGAGTCATGGCATACACATCCTTGTTTTTAGCTGCTAAGATAGCACGTTCACTGAGCCACTGATGATTTGTGTAAGTATGTGTGATATTAGGGAAAACTTCATGCCATATAATGAGTTGACATACCCATTGCATAATCATTGTCGATATTGCATGTTGGTGTCTCAGTGATATGCATATTTAAAGGCAACTTCAGTGCTGAATGCGCTGTTCGGCCACCATCCAAAAGAGTTGCGGCAAATCCAGAAGATGCGATTGCCAGTGCAATATTATTTTGTGACCGTATGGATGCCAAAATAAGCGAAATGAGAAAGGTCTTGCCTGTGCCTCCGGGTGCATCTATGAAATACAATCCTCCATGTTGTCTTGTAACGGCATGCATCATTGTGTCATATGCTATACGTTGTCCTGGAACCAATTTTGGAAGATTTGTTTGAACAAATGTACCTAATTCGGTGACATCAAAGTGTGTCTCTCGTTGCAACTCACGATCATAAAGGTTGTTTGCAGATCGTTCTGGTGGAGCCAGTCCCAGCTGAACCAGTGCTTTATTAGTTATTGCCAAACATATGTCCCCAATGCAAACCAATGCCTCATTATATACATTTGGTATGAATTGAAGGCCCTGATCTTGCTTCGTTTCACGCCAGCGATGTAGGATGTCTTCACTAATGTAGTCTTTGTATTTTCCCCAAAGCTCTTTTGGATTGGATGGGAAGCAAGTTGTTAATATTATTGCAAATAATGTGCGTATTTGCTGTGGTCGAGCAGTATTCGAAGCATCAGCGAGTGAAGTGTCCCGATGTGCATCATTTTCAAGAATATTTAATTCTTGGCAAGCTTCACTTTAAGTAGCACATACTTTACCATAAACTGTTCTTAAGTCCTGGAAGGATGTCGGTCCACGTTTGTTGATTAAAAGCGGTGTTGGTTAAAAGTAATCGCAAGTAAAAGCAATCTGCCTTTTTGGGATGAAGAGTGTAGAGACAGCCTAAAACATCAGTAGAATATAAATTAGGATGTCCGTCAACCGCTTGACCTTGCTTGTAACGTTGAAACTTTTTAGCTGATGCATTCCACGCGTAGTATGTTGGCAGGTCAGAGTAAAGTATTGTCTTTGCAAACATATCATCTCTACACAATGAGAAAAATCAGTTAACGTGGTTGGCGGTGGTAACAATGCTCGTGCATGTGCATTTTCTGTAGTGAAGTACACGCGCTGTCCATTGTCAAGGTTCACTGCCAAATGAACAACTGCTGGATGTCGTTCATGAATTGGAAATGACAAAATGCGCCATACCGCTTAATTGCTACCAATGTAGCGCCCCAGCTGATATTGCTTGATTTCATCGATAGATGCAGCTGCATGTCCCACTCCAAAGACTGCCATATCGCCTCCTTTGTTGACATATTTGCAAATGTACTTATGTTTGCAAAAAAATGTGTCGACTGGCCTGTGTCACCTGCTACCAATGATCTTAAATGGTTCGGGTGGTGAATGTAATAGTGGCAATTTAACTTTTCCACCAGCGCAGCACATACCCGGCGTGTCATTCTTAAATTTAAAGGCACTACAATGTACGCACAATTTATCCATTGTGCCAGTAAGCACCTGTGGATGAAGACTGTAATCATAATTGCTGTTGTAATGGAATGCACCAAGATTCAAATCAACATGCAGTGTTCGCCTGGATAAAGTAGTGCGCATTCAAACGGTGTCCAGTCTTGCTTTCCGTTTCTCGACTGTGTCTGATAAACGGACTTGAGCAGTGAGAACTCTATTGGTTTCCAATCTCGCTTCTCGTTGCTCGTCTGACTGAGACGATCTGACTTCAGCAGTGCGCACTCGAATGGTTTCCAGTCTTACCTCACGCTGCTCGTCTGTTTCTAAAGCAATTAATGCCCTTCTCTTGCGTGTTTTAGGTGTAGATGGGCCAATCGCTTGTCGTTTGGGAGGCATAACTGCAAATTTTGACAATATAGTTAACAGCGTGTGAATTTAGTGAGCGCTGATCATCAATAGCTTGTTCGTCCTCACGCACTGAATGAAATGTGACTTGAAGTATCGCTGAAATAAATGAAAATATGAGCATGAGATAACAATATATTTTGACTCAAGAGGAAATGCATAGAAACTGGGCAGCAAATAGTAAGAAAAGGCGGTATATAAGACAATATGAGAAAGCCAACAGATAATGTGCATACATTTATCATTGTGAGATTTAAGGAATGGTCCACACATGTATTTGAAGTTTAAAAAATGTACATAATGACTGATGTCACTGAAATAAATGCGCTCACCTGTTGAGATATTTCTAGATTCTAACACTGACCTGAGACGGAATGTCATGTAAATTTATATAATTCTTTTGAATAACAGAAGAAAGCTAACCAAAACTGTTGTACTCATGAGTATGAGTATGAGAAAGATAACAGATGATTAATGATAATGTGTGTGCATTTATCATTGCGGGATTTAAGAAGTGGTCCACACTTGTTTGAAGTTAACAAAAACAGGCACATACTGACTGATGTCACTGAAATAAATGCGCTCACCTGTTGAGATATTTCTATATTCTAACACTGACCTGAGACGGAATGTCATGTAAATTTATATAATTCTTTTGAATAACAGGAGAAAGCCAACCAAAATTGTTGTACTCGTGAGTATGAGTATGAGAAAGATAACAGATAATGATTAATGATAATGTGTATATATTTATCATTGCGGGATTTAAGAAGTGGTCCACACTTTTTTTTAAGTAAACAAAAAACATGTACATACTGACTAATGTTACTGAAATCAATGCTCTTACCTTTTTAGATATTTCTAGATACCACAACTAAAAACCGATGGCAATTGTATTATATTCCTTGTAATTTAACTTAAATGTCGCAGGCGGATGTTGACAATCACCCCTGGCATACGCACCCAGTTTGAGAACCGCTGCTATAATGCCTCGGTCGAGTCAGCAGGTAAAGACCTTGCCAGCTTCTGTACCACGCAACCGAATCGAGGTTTACCCCGCTACGACAGACTTAGGCAACAGCAACTATTGTGTTAATGAGAGAGTTATTTTAGACCATCGCAGTGTATGCAGAAACGGGTGTAAGGTAACCACTATTCGTATTCGGCCCGACCGCAAGTATTCGGCCGAATACCGAATAGTCAATAGGTCCACTATTCGGCCCCGAAGCGAATACGAAGCGAATATTCGGTACAGCCCTAGTCTTAACGGTAACATCGCTCTTTAAGTAAGTATATTCTACCCCACCAGGACATCACACAGAGCGATAAACACCAGGTGACACAAAGTGCCACCATGCGGATGAGTACTACCGGAGAGATACCGGAAACCGCGTTCAACCGGTGGGTTATATTACGGCTCCCGGCAACAGTCAGGGTGGCGCTTCAAAATAACGAAAAATTGCATCCCAGAAGGGGACGACTAGATCTGCACCACCCTTTAAAAAGAAAAGAGTTTAACGGAATACGGCATTTCATTTTATCTGAGAATTATCAAGTGGGCAAAGAAGCTAATTTAACAGCGAAAAAAGAGGGTTGAGACACAATTTCACAAGGAAAACGATAACATAAACAACTAGATTGCAGCGACCGGAAAGGAAAAAAAAAACCCAAGAGATAGCATAGCTTGAACAATTCTCATCGTCATCCGCGCTGCGAGCTCTGGTTGCCGGCGTCGATTGCTTACTGCCCCGTACCGATACGCGGTTGTTGCTCCAACCAACAGACGGCGGCGGCGGCGGTAGCACTTGGTAGATGGAACAAGCGACTTGGGGAGCTGGCGTCAATTTGTTGTAGTGAGCAGGTCGCGAGGCCAAGCAACATTACTTCAGCGTGACTGGAGGGATTGTAAACACCAGAGAGTCATGATCGGCTGCGATTATTGTTCCTTGAAAAACTAACGCATTCGGTGTTTCGATATTCTTGTCTTCTTCGGTGAAACATGTATAAGCTATTTCCTGCGGAGAACTTACATTAACAGCGGAATTTTTACAATTATAACACTTTGATGAACGCGTGTCTAGTTTGTTGAAGGAGGTACCATGGAGGTTCCTTGGTCGTCGGGCTGTGTACAAACCCTGGTACATGTTCTTATTGTCTGGGTAGCTTCTAGCGCAGGTGAGTACACTATACTTTTTTTGTGTGTGGCGGACAATATGGATTGTTGTTTATTTTTTTTTTCCCAGCGCGGGTTCCTGGGCTTCTTTTGGGAGATTAGGCGGGTGAATGCACCTACTGATTAGGAGTTTCCTTCGACGTCGGAGTGCATCTGCATTGACTCGAGGAACCGAAAGTCTGCATGCCAAATTGTCAGATCCGTCAAACGTGTGTACACACGAAGAATCCCGGCTTCTGGAAAAGAGCAGATTCCACAAATGAAGGTATAACTAAAGCTGGTGAACGCTAACAAAAAGATGAAGAAGAGTTTGGTTTGTTTGCTTGTTTAGGACCTACACCCAATCCAAAGGATAAATAGTTACTTCATAACCGTCAATTGCCTCAATGTAACTAGTTAATACAGTTGAACGGATCAACTATAAATTCCTCTTATTGGATTGGCAACTGAAAAGTGATTCTTTCAGTCAGCAAGCAACCAATCAGGGATATTTACAAGCACATTGACCGTTCGGATACCAAGTGGTGGTACTTTTTGCTGCTTATTTTGCCTATTATCACAGACTCCTTAAATGTGTTCTGTGGGCCGGTAGTTGTAGTTACATCTAAAAACATTACAGTGAAAATATTATTTGTTGAACATGATAGTTAAAGAAAAGACATGAAACAAGCGGAAAAAACACGAACTGAATTTAGTAATCACTTTCTGCCATATATATGTCAAATTATTCCATTTGCCGTCGCTGAATATGTTTATAAATAAATCATATCAATACTAAATGTTACATATATGCATTCTTCTTCTTCTTCTTCTTCTTCTTCTTCTTCTTCTTCTTCTTTTTTCTTCTTCTTCTTCTTCTTCTTCTTCTTCTTCTTTTTCTTTGTCTATTTCTTCCTCTCCTTCTTCTTGTTCTTCCTAATCTTCTAAATCTTCTTCTTCTCTTCTTCTTCTTCTTCTTCTTCTTCTTCTTCTTCTTCTTCTTCTTCTTCTTCTTCTTCTTCTTTTTCTTCTTCTTCTTCTTCTTCTTCTTTTTTTTTCTTCTTATTCTTCTTCGTCTTTTTTCTTCTTTCTTCTTCTCTTTTTTTGTTCGTCTCTTTCTTCCTTTTTCTTCTCCTTTTCTTCTTCTTTTTCTTCTTCTTCTTTTCTTCTTCTTCTTCCTTTTCTTCTTCTTCTTCTTCTTCTTCTTCTTCTTCTTCTTCTTCTTCTTCTTCTTCTTCTTCTTCTTCTTCTTCTTCTTCTTCTTCTTCTTCTTCTTCTTCTTCTTCTTCTTCTTCTTCTACTTCTCCATGATGTGCCGCCCCGATAAGTCTGGTTGATCATAGTTTGTAATCTGATACAGTTAACAGTTCTGGATTAGATCCATGTTATCCTAATTATATGACCAAGCCATCTGGCTATTTATCTTTATTTTCCCTTGCTCTGCTCCCACCAAGTGTGGCTAGTGTCACGAAGTTTTTAAGTTCATATTTCCTTATATATTCCGTCTAAACGATCTTGAAGGTTTATTTTCTCTTGTTATTTTACGGTTTTATCTGCTTCCTGTGGGAGTGCCTTAATCGTTTCTCCGTCACTTGATGGCATTTTTGTGCATTTAGCCTAGAACTGCTCATTTCGGCCGTTATTGGAGGTTTCTCGACTTCCTTGTTCATTATTGTCAATGTTTCACAGGCATGCAACGTTCTAGATTATGTGTTCGCAGCGTGAGTTCAGGCGCCCCATAGTGTGTGTATGTGTGTGTGTGTGGGGGGGGGGGGGGGGATAGATCCACTGCTCTCTACCAATCATGTAATTAATAGAAGTTAACTTATTAGAGTTTTTCCGTCCAAGTCGGACATTCTGTGAGGCGAAGAGCAAACAGTCTTCATTCAAAGAATCAAGATATGGAAAACGGAAATGCACACAGAACTCAAGTTCTGAAAAAGTAATAAAAATAATCAAGTCCAGAAGTGGACGAACAACCAGAACTTTCCACCGGAGTTTACAACCACGGAAAGGAAGAAGAGGAACAAGATATTCTTTATGAAACCGTGACACTTTGTTTCACTGCGGTTGGCAAATACAGTGGTACCTCGCCTTATGAACTTTTCGAGATACGAATCCCAGCCAAGAAGTCACCCCGAGGTACCCCTTTACCGTTTACATTTGGTTAACATGAACACGATTGTGGTCCCAGCAGGGCTGTTTTATTTATAACACGTCAGTTAGTCCGGGGTTGGCACACATTTTTTTAGCACGAACTCTAGATTTTTCAGTCCTTGGAATTGGTGCTAACGGGGTTTAACTGCATTCATTTGTGTGTATCCTGTCTTGGAAAAAAAGAATTTTGTCACGCGACTCTTGTTCTACTGTTTGCAGCCAAAACATTGATGAGCTGTCAGTGAGTGAGTGAGTGAATGAGTGAGTAAGGAGTGAGTGAATGAGTGACGTTTCATCCTATCTGGACCGCAGGATGATAAACACCAGTTGACACAAAATGCCACCATTCAGACGAGAATCCCCCGGGCACAAGTCCCAGAAACTCGTTCCGTTGCTTTGCTAAAAAAAAAAAAATAAGCAAAAAAATCGTCACGTATTTCCGAGAGGGGAGCTTTAGGTTATAATTGTGACTAGGTAATTTGTACCATATAAAATGGCTTAGCATTACCCGCCACCATGTAGCTAGTTACAGTAACAATGACAACCAGCACCAAGCCTCCCTGTCGGTTACATTTACATACTGTCCCAGTCTAGATTTGGGGTCAATATTTTCACAAAAGAATTAAACCCATACTTCAATAGCGACACATGTCGTAAAAGACGATTAATTAAGGTTTTTTGCTGAAATTAGATGTACTAGGCTGAACGGCGCAGATATCGCAGTCTAGTTGTAAACCACAACGTGTCAACCATCACGTTAAAGGCGGCTACAGAACTAACATACAGTAACAGTAAGCTACTCAGTGCATACGATGCCATTCTGTCATTGATAACTGTAAAAAATACTCACAAATGAAAATTTATTTAGTCACTCTATTGGTTGCACAAAATGTAACACACAGACGCACACAAACCACACAGGTTTACGATAAAGAAAGCCACACAAACAGCTGCTGCTGCTACTTAAAAAACGCTACTAAAATAACGCATTAAAAATCAAGTTACATCAACATCCGTAGACAGTTAATATAATCCGTGTATATTAACTAAACGACACGGCTGAAGAAACCAGCGTTTGTAGTCAAAATTGGCTATCATTTCTGAATAAGACTCCCTTCATGGTTGCCGCGCAGTCGCATGCCAATAAACATGGCTGGTGCATTTAAAATGTTGAATTCTGTTTCCGCATGGATGCTTTGATGACTACACCAGATAATATATTAGGGACGCATAGTTTGACTTCGAGCGAATGTCCTCACCTGCGTCAAGGTACAGTTGATGAAGCTGCTGCTGGATTGTGTTAGTGCTTATGTTTGTTTAAAAAAAAGGCAAAATAAAGGTTCACTTTCCACTCCCTTAGGCGGATAGGGCATACAGGGCTAGACCTATGCATTTATAGAAAAATCGGTACTTAATTTATAACTTACCCCTGATGTCACGACAACGTCACGGGAGACATTCCCAAAAAATTCTAGTGTGTTTAGGTTGTAGTTTCTCGCGATTTATCTACAGTTTAGGGTTAGGGTTAGGGTTAAGATTAGAAGACACTAGATGAACACTCCAAAAAAAAGCACCACACAACAGCACACTTGCACCCCTTGAAATAATGGGTCAGCTGTGGATTTCTCACGGGGATTTCCTGTTAGGGGTACGTTAAAAATTAAGACAACCACACCTTAAACGCCTTGGCTAATAATATGTGAATGTCAAACAAGCAATCGGTTATGAGGATACCTTCTGTTGAATACCAGCATACAGTGCATCATATTCCGATATTTAGCGGCGTCCGTGGCTTAGACGTCACGAGTCCGACTCGTAATTCCAACGTACCGCGATCAAAATCCACTGCTGGCTGCGTGGATTTTTATCATGGTATGGCGCGTCGCAGGTCGACACAACCTAAAATGGGTTCCAGGATGGCTGTCCTGGGGAAGTAAAGACGGCTGGCGTAATGCTGACCACATAACCCACCTAGTGCCGACTGGTCTGTAAAAATATGGGTGTTCTTCTCAAATGCTCGATGCGCCTAAAGCGTGAAAAGGGATCTTTACTTTACTTTACTTATATCCCGATATATAGTAGTGAATCGTGGACAGTTGAAAAATTAGTGATAAATTATTTAGAAGCTGCGGAGATGTGGTTTTTATGGTGAATGCTAAGAACACCCTGGACAAATAAACAGAGTAATGAAGATATCTTGAAATTACCTGACCCATGAAGAGATCCGATTGGCCACATAATAACGAGACAAGTTCATACTTTGACAGTCTCATGAGCAGGAGAAAACTGGAGTACATCGTGACAGTTGGATGGCTGGAGAGCAAAAGAGGCTGAGGGAGACCGAGGGAGAAGATTCTGGCTTGGAAGATCATCTGAGTCAGAATTGATTGAAATTACACGAGACAGCTGTTGTTCTGTACGGCCCTATCTGGAGCTGGCTGTGCTCGAGTGCTCATTCATGTTGTCATTCACTTGTAAATCAAGTAAAAGACACGTTTCCACGTCTTCGTGCGTGTGAACATAGAGCGCTGGAACTATATTCTACTAACCAATCGGCACTTGCTGTGTGATGTGGTCAACATCACACAGGCCGACTTTCCCAGGACTTTACCTAGTACATTTTCAGGGCTGGTCAACCTGGAAGCCAAGGTTATTTTTTGAGAAAACAAATTCTTTTTTTTTTTCAGAATCAAACCTACGAGCGTCCGACCGATGCATTGTGGGGCACCTGTTTACCTACCATGGAATTCTGATAGCTTGACATAGAAAAATGCTTGACTTTTGTGAAGGTAAACTTTCTGCCTGCACAGCCACACTGTCTTGTGTTCACTTAAACCAGCCAGCTCGTTGTCACACACTCCTTAAT